ATGTACCTTGAGATAATCTGAAATTCTTTTTTGTTTGTTTGCTTGCTTTTGTTTTTATGGTGCTGGGGACAAATCAGGTCACATGCATGCTAGGCAAGCACTCTATCACTGATCCTGATTATTTTTTCTGTATTAAATTTTTTTTTCCAAGATCAATATAAAAGCTTAATGCAGTAGAAAATAAGGAACAGTTCATGGCCACTAAGATTTTTGAGGAATTCTATTTTTAATCCTTTTAAAAAACAGATGCAATGTTTTTGGTGTGGGGGGTATTCCTGGGGATTTAACACACAGGCACTTAACCATGGAGCCACATCCCCAGTCCTTTTTATGTTTTACTTTGAAACAGCATCTCACTAAGTTGCTGAGGTTAGCCTCGAACTTGTAATCCTCCTGTCTTAGCCTCCCAAGCCCCTTGGATTACAGGCATGTGCCACTGGGCCTGGCTTAGAGGTAATATTTCTACAGAACAGTCCTTCAATTTTATAATCCTTGCATTAATAGCATTCTTGAATTTCAAAAAGAAAACTATCAGTTACATTGCTAGTAAGTCTGATAGAAAGTGTATTTGTTCTTTCTTTCTCCTATTATATGAATAATCTAAACAAATGCTAGTTTATATCTTTTCCTACCTAGTTTTTTTTAATTGTGTTTTGCAGGAGAACTAAATAAATTTGGAAGTTGTTGAAATTGATGTACATATTTAATAGATGCATAGTTGTATGTGGTTAAAAATGAATAGCCAAAGGTCATTATGGTATAAGTACTGTGTGTTCTTGATGGCCAAAGAAACAAATCACTAATTTTATGACTTAATTATAATAATGAATAGTATAGTTTCAGTATTTAAACTGTTGCTTGAAAGCAGTTCAGTATATTCTTAATTCATTAATATTTAGGAAAATAGTAAAAATTTTGTTCTTAAACCTTTATTGATTAAAGTAGATACTGATATTATAAAGTCCAGTTTGAAAGGCAATTGGTTATATACACAATTTTAGAGCTAATTTTCTTTAACTGCTATCTGTATCTTACTTGATAATAAACAAGTAATAAAAGTTAATTTATTCTTAGTGTGCTTTTCATATTGCTTAGAAAATGCCAAAAATTTTTATATGGGATTATAACCTTTTATAAGAAGATTAAAAACTGATACAAGTACAGATCTTTTATCATGTCTTTCTTCTTTTGAAACATAGTTGTCTGTCTGGGTCCAATCAGGAGATAGAAACTACACATTGGGTTGAACAGGGTAAGTTTTGTAAAGAATGATTAAACCCTGATAAAAGAGTGACTTTAAGACATAGGAAAGTATATATGGTACCTAGGACTGGTAGAGAAAGGACAAACTTCAATGGGCCCCTTCCTTAAGGCTGGGATTCAGATCTCAGTGGGGAAAGGTATAATTCAATCTACCAAATTAAAGGGTACCATTGTACCTTGGTCAGAGCTAGTTCATAGGCAGTTGGGTAATATAGCATGTAGAGGGGAAGGAACCCTTTGAGCCACCTGTATGCCTCTGCAGGCAGGAAGTCTTGAGAGGGTTGGATTTTGTGTTGAGAGGGAAGATTATTGCTAGGCAGGGCCTATACTTCCAGGTCCTTGAGAAGACTGCACATCTGGGCATGTGTGTGAGGCAGCCTTCACTTGATGTTCTTACCTCAGTACCACTGATCCACTATGCAGTAGTTGGAAACTACAGAACTGCCTTTGCCCTATAATCTCCTTTGAACACTCATTGCTGAGAAACCTTCAAAATATTTGTGTCCATGTGGGACTGTATATGTTGAAGGGAGAATTTGAAACTGAAGATTATTAAATTTGTAACTGTCATAGTCAAGTTTCCATTCGTCCTTTCCCCAGTTTTTGTACTTTCTTGCAGTACATATTTGCAACCTCTTTTGACTAATTACTTTTCTGCATCTTTTATTGTTTGTGATTGTTTTTCTTCTTTTAGCACTGTTGACATCTGGGGTCAGGATAATTGTATTGGGAGGCTGTCCTGTGTATTATGGTAGGCTTAGCAGCATCTCTGGCCTCTATCCCTAAATGCTAATCACACATACATCTCCTCCTGCCTGTACATGGTTCACATTGTGTTTTGTTTTGCTTTTTGGTACCAAGATTGAACCCAAGGGTGTTTAGCTACTGACATCTCCCCAATCTTTAAAAAAAAATTTTTTTCCTCAAATTTTGAGACAGAGTCTCCCTAAGTTGCTTAGAGCCTTGCTAAGTTGCTGAGGCTGGTTTCAAATCTGCAATCCTCCTGCGTTAGCCTCCCAAGCTGCTAGGTTTATAGGCATGCACCCACCACACTGAGCTCCGCAGCAAAAAGGTCTCCAAATGTTAAGAAAATCCTTTGGAGATCAGCATTTTCCTTGGTTGAAAACTTATTGTAGCCTGTGTTGTTCTCTCTTTTAGAAGCAATTTTAATATCTGTTTTAATGAGGGTTTGCTAGTGTTTTTTTTTTTTTAAACAGGCTCAGTTTTAATAGAGAAGGAATCTTAATTATGAAACTTATTTTTAGAAGAGGCATTAGAAACTAACACCTTTTAAAAAGTATCTTATGTGAATTAAGGTGGAATTTTAAGTGGATTTTGTTTCTAATAACCTTGATATTTGGTTGCAGGGCTAGGATTAGAGAATTCCGTTTTTTAAAATGAAATATTATATTTGTAGTGTTTTAGTATATTCATTCTTTGATTCAAGAGCTTATGCTCTGCCTTTACCATGCAAGGTGCTAGAGATTAAATGACAATACACTGAGTGAAATTTTTCAAGTATGCATGAAGAATCATTTAGTTGTCACATTCTTGCCTTGATTCTTTTTTTTTAAAAGATTTTTAAAAACATGGATACAATATCTTTATTTATTTTTTTTAATGTGGTGCTGAGGATTATACCCAGTATCTCACAAGTACGGACCCTAGCCTCTTGCCTTGATTCTTGATGGTAAAACAAAACAAAACAAAACATTTTTTAAACATTAAAATATAATTTCTTCCTATATGAAATGACCGTGTTAAAGGTGCTACTCTTAGGTTTAAGGTATAGTTTTGCAACTGGTGGTATTTGAATCAGAAGATCCACATTCTGGCCTTGTTCCTTATTAAGCATCTTCATCATTTGTGAAACTGTACTTGATTAACTAGATTCAAAATCCCTAACCTACAATTTCTAATATGTCATGAGTAGTCCCCCAGGTTAGAGTTGAAGATGAGACCAGGGAAGGCCTAAAAGCCAGTCATAGTCTTCTAGCACTTATGTTCTGGGTACAAGAAGAAACAATTTTACTTTTATATAGTTATGAAAGCTTAAGCAATTAAGATTGCTTGTAGATTAATTGGAGACAAGTCTAGCAGTAGAGTAAGGGCTCAAACAGTGAGTTGGCCTGAAATTCTTGACTTCTTTACCTGCTTTACAGATTTTTGGCCATGATAAAAATTTCTGACTATGGAAAACATTTTATTGTAAGGATTCTAGAAAGGAATTGCTTAAGAAATAGTATACAGAATCAGAGAAAAGTTTGTAGTTACATGTTGGATGAGGGGCTTGTATCCAGAATATATAAAGATTGCTTAGAACTTAATAGCAAAAAGAACACAATTTAAAATGGAGTAAAGGATTTAATAGATAATTTTCTAAAGAAGAATGTACTACTGGTCAATAAACACATGACAAGATGCTTAGCATTATTTGTTGTTAGGAAAGTACAATTCAAACCCATAGTGAGATACTACTTTATACTCACTTGGATGACAGAGTATGAAATACCAGAAATTAAAGTGTTGGCAGGAATGTGGATAAATTGGAACCCTCATTCATTACTTGGGGGGAATGTAGAGTGGTTCGGTCATTATGGAAAACAGGTTGGCAGTTCCTCAAAACATAGCAGTTAAACAGAACTTCCGTAAGATGTAGCACTTTCATTCCAAGGTAAATATCCCAAAGAACTGGAAATGCATGCTCACACAAAAATTGTGCATGAACATTTTTTGTTGTGTTTTGTTTTCCCACCTCACGATCCTCCTGCCTTAGCCTACCATATCTGGTGCATTAATGTTCTTAATAATAATATTTCTAATACCCAAAAGTTCAAAAAATATTTTATTGAAAAAAACTCAGATTTTTTCAGGTGATTGATAAAATCTTGTAACTCCATGTGGTGGAATGGTTTTTGGGCACAAAAACAAATGAGATTCTGATATATGCTATAGGAAAAATGAACAATATGTTGCATGGAAAAAAAATGAAAAGACTGCATATTGTGTGATCCACTTATATAAAATATTCTGAACTCTATTGAGAAACCACTGAATTCTAAACATTAGAGGGTAAACAGTATGGCATGCACATTATGTCTCAGAAATGTTTTAATGAACCTAAATAATAAAAAAGATTAATCAGTGTGAGATTATGCTATACAATAGACATTTCACAAGTACAGTTATTTTTAATTTTTTCTGTACTGGAGATTGAACCCGGAGATGTTTTACTACTAAGCTACATCCCCAGACCTTTTTTTCCTTTGAGACAGGGTCTCACTAAGTTACCCAAGCTGGCCTTGAACTTGGAATCATCCTGCCTCAGCCTGCTGAATAATTGGGATTTATAAGTGTGTACCAGTATGCCTAGCACCAAGTTCAGTGTTTGGCTTTGTTTCTGTATGCACATTCTGGCTAACGTTTAGTTTACTTAAGTCTGTCCGTTTATAGTTGAACAGTTGCATTGAGATCAGGAGAGTCAAATTATCTTTCCATACCTGGCCATCATAACACAAATAGTCACATATCTGTTTAGGGTTTTTCTTATAAGAAAAAATGTAAATAGGAAGAGGAAAAATTATGTAGAAAATTTAACTTTATATCTTTATGTTTAATTATGGAAAGATAAGATTAGTTAATTATAGTTTATTGAAATTTCTAGGAGATATTCATGTCTTCATGTGAGATATTCCATTAGAATGTTCATTTTAATAACACAGTTTATATCATTTCAGACAGATTTGACCAATTTTGGGCCATCAATCGGAAACTTATGGAGTATCCTGCAGAAGAAAATGGATTTCGTTATATCCCTTTTAGAATATATCAGGTAAGAAGTAACATTTTGAAAAATACTAAGTTGTGAAAGCCTCAGACATCTTACTTCTTGAAGCAATCCTGGTCCAAAAATCTGTTGTGTAGTATCTGAAAGTTTGTTTTTCAGATCTGACTTTTGGTGGCAATTATATTAGAGATTGACTTGTGTGCAGTTACTACTCAATATTCAAAGTTTTTGTATTGGCAGAATTACCTACTTGCTAAAATTTATCAGTGACCCCTAAGTCAGTACTTGAAACACTTTGCAATTTTACAAGATGTGCAGTGGAGTTAAAAATATAATTTGCCTGATGTGCATGTTCCAAGCTGACGTTAAACAAAGCAACACTTTGTCTTCTTGTTCACCTTTCATAGTATAAACAAGAGTCCTTTTCATAGTCTGTTCAGTCCATTTTTTTTTCCTGTTCCTTTTGGGGGTATGGGAGGGTTGTTTTTTTTTTTTGGTTGGTGATTTTTGTGCTGTATAGAATGTACTCTAGGCACAGTGTAGTTTTTGTTTTTTAATATTTTGTTGTTATTGTTATAGATGGACACAATACCTTTATTTTATTTTTCTGTGGTGCTGAGGTTCAAACCCAGTGCTTCACGTGTGCCAGGCAAGTGCTCTACCACTGAGCCGCAACCCCAAACCCGTGGTGTAGTTTTTAAACAGAAATGTACTTAAAGCAAGATTATGTATTAGGTGATGAATATGTCGTAACAAAAGCTCTCAGAAACATAACATCATTTCTCTTAGGCCCAGTAGTTCAGTATTTGCTAACTCAGTGTTTTAAGTCACTTTTTATAGAATATAACTATTACAAATAAAAGGATTGCATTCATTTTATATGGTGAATTCTTGGAATTGTACAACAAAATAGACAGTAAGTAGCTTTGCAGGCCTTCATTACAGCAAATATATAGGAGGTAAAGAACTATAATATTTTGTATAGTACTTAAAAATTCAGTGTGCTTGGGATATAATATAGCAAATACTAAATACTTATTGAGGGCCTGGGGTTGTAACTCAGTGGATGAATGTTTGCCTAACATGTGAGGTCACAGGTTTGATCCCAAGCACCACCAAAAAATAAATAAATAAATTATCGAATTAATGATATTCTAGAAAGCAAATTACCTGCTATCATGGGAAATCATTTAAGAACAGAGAGTCTGCTCTGGTTAAGTCATCACATAACTATATTCAAAGAGGAAGACCAATCGCCTGATTAAAAATTAGCAAATAAAGTCTCAGAATACTGAAGGAATAAAATACCTTTTTATTCAATGCTGCAGGTATAATTTCCAAGGGGTTGATACTTTTCTTGAAGTCAGGATTGCTATGTTCTTAGTCTGGGTCCAGCATCTAGTAAAGTACCCAGCATGTGAATTTTTAACTTGGTAATCATTTATTGTTGATCTTCTTTTCATTTTATTCTATCATAATCTCCATACTAACTTACCATAAGGCATTTCTACAGCCTAACAAAGTATTTTATTTATGGAATTTAGTTGAACAAAGTATGTAACTTTAAATGACTTTAAAGACATTTTCAAAAGAAGAGTTCCAAAATTGTTTTCAGATTTGTACTTCCTAGCACTTAGAAGTGTATTGTTCAATTCTGGTGTTTACATTTAATGATACTGTATTTTCCTTATGTAATTACTTTGAGTTCCCATAGGGATAGTGTATTATATTAATGCTTAATGTAGGGATTATTATTGTCAGAATAATAGTGCAGATATAGAGAAGAGAGGTCTTCCTTTTTGGTATATCATTGTATTCTGGTGGAAAATTGTCAGTTCGTATCTCTTACTCTTGTTTATTATAATGCAGAAAGAAGTGGAGAATGGGGTTAGGAGGAAAAAGAAAATGTGTATGCATGGGAAAAATGGTTTTTATAAAAATTCCATAATTAGTAAGTGAGAAGGTAGAGAATTCTCAAAATTTGCCTTACAAAACCTGGCTGCCAGTGCTTCTTGCCTGATCTTTCCAGTGTCAAGACAGTTGGGCATTTTGTCTTTAAAAGAAAGAGACTGAAGTTTTTAAGTGACCTACATAACTTTCCTTTTGGCTTTATACCCAAGTGTGTTGTGTAACATGAATATAACAATTTAGGTCTTCCAGTTTTTACTAATTTATCATATCCTGACTTTCTTCATTTCCCTATTTTACATTTTATTTTATTTTGGTTTTTGGGTACCAGGAATTGAACCCAGAGGCACTTAACCACTGAACATATTCAGCCCTTTTTTAATTTTTATTTTGAGACAGGATCTCTCTAAGTTGCCAAGGGTGGTTTGAATTTGCAGTCCTCCTGCCACCACTCTCGGCCCTATTTTATGTTTTTAAATGTCCATGCATGTTCTGACCAAAGAGAGATGGAGTCCTGTTTTCTTTCTTTTTTTTGATTATATGATCTCTACTTAACATTAGATTTCTGTTGCTAACTTTTGATTAGTTTATATGTTTGATATTTTGTTTTTGAGTCTAGCTTTTTATTTATATGGCATTTCGATTGTTACCTTTTATTTAATATTTAGTACTGTAGTCTTTGAGATCTTTAGTTAGTAAAGAAGATGTAAAGAAACCCTGAAAATCCATGTTATTAATATACAAATGAAGGGAATAATTTTCACTAAAATACTTATTTTACTCTGCAGAATCCTAATAGAATTCCTGTACAGCAAGGAGTGAGCAAGGGACCCTGAGCATGCTTGAGAGAGGCCCATTTTATCATGTTGAAGTCTCAAATCTGTCTTAGGAGGTAGGAATCATTATCTCATTTCTAAAAAATGAGGAAATGGAAGGTCAGCGACCTTTATATCACTTGCTCACTATCAAAGAAATGAAAGAATCTAAACTTAGTTCTGATTTGTGAACTTTTTGTTGTTGTTGTTTGTACTAAGGATTCAATCCAGGGTTGTTCTTCTACTGAGCTACTTACTCAGCCCTTTTAATTTTTTTTAAGTCAAGTGCTCGCTAATTGTTGAGACTGGCCTCAAACTTGCAGTTTTACTACTTTAGCCTCCAAATAGCTGGGGTTAAAGGTCATCTCCACCATGTCCAGCTTATCATAATTTTCCTTTATATATTATGACAAAAAGTAAAGTTCACCTTACATTGATAGGAAACTAGAACTTTGGCAGTGTTCTTTAAAGATTGGCTTTTGTAAAGATTATGTAGAACTACTTATTTTTCATCTGGAAAATGTTTATTTATAGGCTCAAAATGATTATAACCAAGTGACAGAATTATAGTGGTAAAAGTTAAATTCCTCTAGAAACTGTCTAGAGATGTTGCAGACCATGTTTCTGTCATTTACATAACAGTTTGGTTTGGTGTGTGAGTTTCAGGTTTGTGTTCCTGAAATCCAGGTGCTTTAGTATTAGCCAGTATTCTAGAAATGAGGTTAATGGCAGGAAGTGTTACAGAAATGTAACAAATATGTTATTTATGATAGCACATTTAAATAGATGGTGATTAATGAGAGTATCTGTCAGAAAGATTTGTAAAATGACCATAAATTCCTTAGATATTGGTATTTCTCTTGTAGAATGAACTTAACCTATTGTTTCAGTTTTTTAAAGAAGGAACAGATTCATAAATGTTATCCTGTCAATATATTTTGAGTAAAAAGTTTTCTCTGATTTGCCTTATATGAGTTTATTTACTCACAAATATTTGCATTTCCATGCCCTGTGCTATACACAGGGAAGTCAAGTGGTGGTTAATATTATATATATCATTCCTGAGAGGTTGAAAGAAACTAATCAACTTCAGTATACAGATATAACACTGCAACTGTGATTTCTGTGAATAGATACGTAGTGTAATAAAATTCTAATGCTCCTGGGGGAATTTGAACTAGTTTGGGAAGACAGAGGAGGCTGATTCGAGGAAACCTTGTGTTTCTTAGGGTAGGCAGAAAGTCTGGAGAAGAACATTGTAGGCAAAGGGGACTTTGAGACAGAGGACCTCTTGAGTATCAGGAGTTGTGGGGAAAGAGGCTGCAAAGGTACAGATTAGACCATATTACCATGTTTTCTCTTTATTCTGGAAGGAATGGAAAAATCTTAAGATAAATTTTAATAATTTGAATATCCATTCATACTTATTCAGCAAAGATCATTATGCCATCTCCTCTCTTTTCCATGTTGTTTTTGAGGTTATAAACAAATTTAGGAACTTTTCTTAGGAACCACCTAACAATGTTATTTTCAGTTTTAAACAAAACACAAAGCTGATTAACGGTGTTTGTTTCCTCTTACATGATTAGATGGTTCCCACTTATCCTTAGAAGAAGTTCTTCATCAGTTATGTAATAATACAAAAAGTGGAATTTTGAGTTTAGATTTGTTCTCTTTCATAATCATCAGAGCTCTCTGTTCTTTCTCATTTACTATTTTATGTTCATTTGTCATTAAACCCCCATTAATATTTTAATTTGATCAGGTTTACTGGCTATTTTTACTTTTACAAATCTACTTACTTTCTATTGTGATGTGCTAAGATATATTTAAGAATCTAAATATTTAGCAATTTCAGAGGAGAAAAAGTATATTTTTAAAAATGGAAACTAGGATGTCAGGGATTAACTGGGCACTTCCTAAACTGAAGAAGTCAAATTTTAGGCTCTTTTTTTCCCCCAGAATGTTAATTTATTAATATTGAAATGTGAGAACAGTAGAGATGTGTGGCAAATTATGGCCATGTCTTTAGGATTCCTCCTCCAATATTATAGCAGTGGTAGTGAGAAATTATAAACTCTAATCTTCTGTTATTTTACATTTTGATTAATACCTTGCAATAACATCTAACAGAAAAGCCAAAGACCAATAGGAGGTTCATATTAGTTATTTAGTAAACCAAATATTGATGCTTTCAGTTTTAGTTTTTGATTATTTCAAAAAGACACATTTTATAATTTGTAATATACTTTGTACAGAGATTTTAAATATGTTTAGGAGAATATAATACTAATATTCTCTGTTCTACTTATAATTATATAT